AGTTTTCGCGGGCTGCATAACTAGGGCCCGAGTACCCTGCAAACGAGGCGACAACCCTTTAAACATACTCTGCGCAGCATAAAGGCAAGAAGGTCCACTAAACTAATTTATTTAAGCCATCATGGTCAGATTCAGCGTACCAGTCGGAAGCAAGCTTATGAGATCAGCACTGACCAGCAAACAAAGGAAAAGGAAAAATGGTCGACTTCTCTTAAATCACACGCTGTCGCTAACAATCGGGAAACAGGCCTGCGAACAGCGTATCAGGACCATTGCAACACTTCGTCTCCATGCACGCAGGGTCCTGCGGGACCGCTGGACCCCAGTCGCATCCGCGGGGTGATTTGGAAGGCTGGAAATGCTACTTCGGAACACTCGATTGATATCACGCACAACAATTCGCCGAACTTGGGAACAGGAGTGATAGTCTGAGCAGCATGTAAACCATGGGCAAAAGCACCCATCTGTACAAATGGGATCTATGTACAAGGGAAAGGGGTTCTGTAACAAAATAAACGTCCGAAACAGGCAGTTTCAAGCTAGAGTTTGCGGGGAAATGTACAAGTTATCACGGAAAGGAATGGTGTCAGAAAAGCCATCTCAAGAATATAAATAAACGATAACCATTTAAAACCGGTTCGGAGGAGGACCTGATCATTGTGTCCCATTATTTACTGTTTCTAATGGCTGAAGTCCAACGCCTTGGTACAGAGCGTCCCTCGTTGCCGCATCCAGATTGGCTTCGTTCTGGTATTCAGCAACATATAGCCTCTTATCAATCTCTTTTGGAATTGGTTTGATTTCCGTGCGTAGTTCTCTTTCGATGTTCTTAAGGGCGTATCTGAGAAAGGAATGCAAAGAAATCAAATCTTGCCTACCTGTCTTGGAAAGTAACTAAATTGATGGCGATACCCAAATGACCAAAACGTCCGGAACGGCCAATACGATGTAGATAGGTCTCAGCATATTTCGGAAAGTCGAAATTAATCACAACATTCACCGTCGGTATATCGATACCGCGGGTAAGGAGATCAGTGCACACAAGGTTCCTGCAGCTGCCGTTGCGGAAGTCGTGAAAGACGCGAATTCGATCCTGTTGTGTCATCCTTGAGTGGATGTAGTAACAAGAATAGCCCAGCTGAGTGATTTTTTTGGCAAGTAGCTCAACGCGTTGTGCGGAACTACAGAATATGATGGACTGGCAAATTTGAAGCTTTGAAAACAAGGTGTTTAGACAGTGAACCTGAAAGGTTAGCGTGAAGTATTGACCATACCTTGTGCTTTTCCTGAACGTAAGCATAGTACTCGGTTATACCCCGAAGAGTCAACTGCTCCATTAGGTTAATCTCGTAAGGGTTGCGAAGGTGTTTAGTGATGAAGGACTGGACAGCAACGGGGTAAGTCGCCGAATAAACCATGAGTTGTCGCTTCTCGTTCACTTTGTCGAGTAACTGTTCAACACCGTACTTTAACTCTTCCGACAGCAGTTTGTCCGCCTCATCCAGGACTACTATCTTGCAGTGGCTGAAGTCGATGAAACCTCTGTTCATGAGATCAACTAGACGCCCGGGGGTGCCGATGACAATATGTACAGTTTGGCTCAGGCGAATAAGGTCGTCCTTTAGAAAAGTGCCTCCAATAACGAGCATAGTCTTCACGTCCATATGTTTGGACAACTCAATGCATATTTGACTCGTCTGGAGGGCTAACTCGCGAGTGGGCACCAGTATGCAGGCCTGTATTTTACCGAGCGATGTATCAATGGATTCCAGAATGGGAATAGAGTAAGCTCCGGTTTTCCCAGTCCCATTCTTCGCACGTGCATAGATGTCCCTGTGAGTAAGGGCTATCGGTATGCTGGATTCCTGGACAGGCGAGGGGTTTTCCCAACCTTTTTCGTATATTCCTTTGAGCAGGTCACGTTTAAGGCAGAAATCCTCAAAGTTAAGGCCTTTTGTTGAAGCGACATCTGCTGTTTTAATCCTATTGTCCTTTTCAGGAAGTTCGAGGGACGCCTTCCAGTCATCAGACCTTGTTGTGGGATCACAGTCCTTCATTACTGGTGAGACTACTTCCTGCACCTTGATTAACGACGCCAGGTTGCAAGTTTTCGACCAAAGTTAAATAACACAGACAGAGCAGAGAGACAAAAACGAAAGTATAGCGATTAGCTGCCGGATGCGCAAGCAGACTACCTACACAGTTAAACAAACGCTGAGCACCGAGGCGTGACGCCACGGAAACGACTCTTCTAACTGATTGAGCATGAACAACCACTCATATGCTTTGGATCCTATATAAGCTAACGTATGACAGGACCTGAAGATTTGCATAGGCGCTAACGTTACTCAAGCAAATTATGACATCAGTGATGTCAAAAGAGGAAGATTAGAGCCTAGTTCTAGAATAGTTGCCCTAGGCAACTGCGACGTCTCTGTCTGTGGGTATATTCATGCATCGCCTTGACAGACACATGCTGCAGCATTAAGCGGACTATGTGCCCAAGTAATCATAAAAACAAACGTGTTGTTGTATGACTAAGTTTGCTTCAACTTGAAGCTGGGACTTCCCATTTGTACGTGACAAATGGGGAGTTCAAAGGCGTAAGCTTCTTTCCCGCAAATACATTGAAATGGACTCTTAGATCTGCACATCAGTCAGCCGGAAATCCAATACGATTAAATAATTCGTTGCTTATTCACGTATCACCAAAACTTAAGTTAAGGACGACCGTACTTGAATTGTAGGCTAGGGTTGCGAACACTTAGCCCAAAAGGCGAATGAGAATCAACTGAAAGGAAACAAATTGTATTAATAAGGAAATTTACAAAGCCTATACTAATTGACACAAACGAGAATGCTGGGTCAAAAAATCCACCTGGAACGGGCAGGCTATTCTTTTTCGAGGCAACATCATGGACCTCTGTTTATAAACGGGGAAAACACGACGTGTCACTGCCACGACAGTTAATACTTATGTGAGTGATGCTAAACAAGTCAATTTCCGTTGATTTCACGGTGTTTCTTGTGGGCTCCACCAGAAATCAAGACGTTGCGAAAATAACCTGTACATGAGAACGGGACGACTGAGACATTATTGACCATGACTTCGAGCATCCGTGAGTGAGATGGTACCGCCATGAGTGATGACTTATTGCTTTGCGTCCAGGACGCGCTGTAAATGTAGACAAGGCAGTTATTTAACTGGCAAAGATACGAACAATATGAGGAAACCATAAATACTGCAATACCTGGACAATTTACTACTCTTGTCTGACACTGTCTCTGATGATGGATTCTAGTGAGAATCAAAAAGTCAGACTAATACAGCTCTTGTTCTAGCGATCCTGTCTCTTTCGCTGCATCCTCGTTATTGCCTGTTGTGAACTGCCACATAACGTCATATTGCGAAAGGGGGAATTGAATAGGTAACAATTGTTAACACCTGATAGAGTTAAATAACCGCTGAAGTTGAAAAGTGTCTAAGAGCTATCTGGGAAGCCGGAGACGCAAACTTACCAAAAAATGTGTCAACTCTCCCAAAAACATTCCTCATTCGATAAGTATATATGTAACGTGATAGTACCGACAAAGACAAGGGAAACAGGAATGACCATCTCTGGATTATTAGCCGCCATCAGCTAGTCATGCCCAGCTCGATGTGTGGATCACTTGAGATTCGAAAACCGGACTTTGGTCATGGAGTTTGAAACACTATCACTGAGTCACGGGCCGTTGTCCTGTAGTTTGGATCGGGTATATCATTTATGACATCTCATTACGCCTACTGCTAGTCGTTGTGCGACTGCCTGCGAAGATTCTAGTATGAGTCCTAAGGCACACGGGAACGAGTATGTTCCGCTGTCTTATCGGTGAGCGCCAATCATCCATTATAAATATACATATATGATGGTAGAGGGGCGCTCGCAGATCGTGTTACGGAACTCACTTATTTCGTTGTACCTTATGGCTTTCTCGGGTCCTACCAGCAGCCGCGCAACGGCGCGCAATATTGGCCAAATAACATTACCGATAAAGACAACGAGGAGAAGACAAGGAATGGTCATTTCTGGCTTATTAGCCGTTGTCAACCAGTTATACCCAATCCCGAGGTGTGGAACGCCTGGGGCTTGATCCTGTGACCTGTCGTTTAGAAGTCCAAAGCTTAAAAAACTAAGCTACAGGCTAGTTGCCTTGTCGGGTGCAATCGGGAGCATACAATGGTAGAGGTACGTTGACTGATGGTGTTGTCGCGAAGTTTAAGCGGAGAGTGAGACCCTGTCTAGCACAACCTTCAGGCCCTGTCCCGAATGGAAGGAGAAGATGGACCCCAGTGGGGAGGATAATATATTCTGCACAGAATAACTGGAGGAGGAGTTGGCGAGAGTTGGCAGTTGGGTGAGGACATGTCCGGCGCCGGATGGGCGGCGTCCCAAATGTGTGTGGGAGAGCGTCACAGAGTTTTAAGTGAGGACATGTCTGAATCGACCCTCGATCTGATTGGTAGGTTGGAAAGCCGAGGGAGCGACTGCCAAACAGACATGGGGAGCAAATGCAGACAATCGCGAGAGGCCCGGTGTTGAGACAGGCGCTCGGAATAGGGCCACTGCAGTGTTACGGGATTCATTCTTCGGGTTGTATCTTGGGGCTCTTTCTCAAGCAGAAGTAATTCTCCAAACGGTTGAGACCGCACTTATCGAGATCTGAAATCCAAAATTTTGGACTCGATATATCCATGCCACCTTCATCTCGCTTCTAGGCAATAATTGCATTCGAAATGATCGCCAAGATAGCCGTGGTGGGGGCAGCTGCGTCTGCGTTAAGCAAACACTTACATTTTTGCCGCTTGACCTCCCGCATTTTTCCGCAGTAGAATGCAGCTGCTGGCTCCAGGTTGAACTAAAAAATAACTTCTCCTTACTCATTGGCTGTGTCTGTCGACCTCCCAACGTCAACGACAATTTTGATCGTTTACTCTCACAGGCATTTCATGCTGCTGCCTACTTAAGCTTTAAGTATCAATTGGTTGCGGGCGACTTTAATCTCCCTGAAGTCCGCTGGTCTCCGCCTTCAGGCCCCAGCAGGTTCGATGACTTTCTTTAGGCTGTGGATGTTGGGATGTGGAATCAGGTTGTCAATTTTCCCACCCGAGGCTCAAGCATACCTGACCTACTTTTCTGTAGAGGCTGCATGCCACCGTCGGTGTCATCCCTAGGCCCATTCGTGGGCTCAGACCATGACATAGTGGTTTCAACGTTGAAATTCGAGGTTGACAAAGCATTGTCCCCAAAGTATAACTTTTTCCGCGATTTCCGATCAACTCGCTCAACCGAATTATTAACACACCTTAATTCCTACGACTGAACTGATTTCTTCCTTAGTTCGGATGTAAATGTTTGCACGGCAAAACTGTACGAAATTTTGGATCCGCTTACTTCTCGTTGTGTCCCCAGTAAAAAAAAGTATTAACATTGGGGATGAGTTTTTCCTACCCTTACCGTTTCGTCGCAGATTGCGCAGACTTTATCGTCGATTCCATTTTCAGGACGATGTTTCTGTCCTGCCCTTGATTCGTGATATTTTTGAGCGGGCTAAGATATTGTCTGAAGTGTCTCGAAACTTTCCTCTAGAAAAATACGAGCTCACCGAAAGACGCAACATCCCATCCTCCGAGACGCTCTCGGAAATCCCATAGTTGATGCCCAGTTAACCGCTGATAGGTTCAATGATTTCCTGTCCAAAACGTTCATTGAAGACTCGACCACTCCGCTTCCGACCATCCAGGCACTGACTGCGGCAGTCCTAGAAACTATAACTTTCACTCTGTGGGATGTGACTGTTGCGATTCAGCGTCTTCGTCAATATTATAGTCCAGGGCCTGATGGTGTTCCAGTAAGCATTTTAAAGGCCGATGCAAATACCATTTTCCCATCATTCTTATGCAAGATATTTAATCTCGCTCTTGAAATTGAAGCTTATTCTACCTTGTGGAAGGAATCACACATTTTGCCCATTCCTGCGCACGGCAAATCTACGTCATTTGATGACTTTCGGCAAATAAACGCCCTCCCCGCAACTTTGAAGATCTTAGAGACATTGATCAAGGATAAGATGATGTGTCACTTAACAGAGAATAACCTACTGAGTGCTGCTCAGCATGGATTACTCAAAGCTCGATCTTGTGACACCTGTCAACTCTCTTTCTTTGACTATGTTCTCCAATCTAGGGACAATGGTTTTGCACTTTAAGCAGTATATATTGATTTCACTAAGGCTTTTGATCGTGTTGGCCATGCTCTTCTTCTCTTGAAACTGTCCTCTTTCGGAATAGGTGGCAAACTTTTAAACTTTATATCCTCTTACCTGGGCACTCGTACACACCGAGTTAAAATTTCCAGTACTATCTCCAACCCCACACGTGTGAGGAGTGGAGTCATTCAGGGTAGTGTACACGGCCCGCTTTTATTTTGCCATTTCGTTAATGATGTACTCGATTTATTTCAGAATGGTAAGCCGTTCATGGATGCCGATGATCTTAAAGTTGCATATCGATATAAGCCGGCAGATCATGACATTGTGCTTGAGTTTCAAAAGAGCGATCTACGGGCTTTCGTCCAGTGGTGCCGCACATGGCGCCTTTCTCTTTCTTGGCATAAGTGCACAGTCATGGTGGTTGGCGACGACTGCCAACCTCAAATAAGCATTGACGGTCACGCCATAAATGTGCCTGGGGTTACTAAGGATGTGGGCGTATCATACTCCAAGAGTCTCAATCTCTCGGAGCACTGTGCCTTGATAGTCTCCAAAGCACGCAGAACGACAGGGTTTATCCTCCGAAACTTTAAAACTAGGGACATCAGAATGCGCCTTTACAACATGTACGTTAGACCTGGCCTGGAATACTGTTCGTTTTTATTTAGCCTCATGCGTGCTACTAAGCGGAAGAAAATAGAATCCGTTCAACACATTTTTACCAAGAGAATTTTAACCCCGGAACACCGACATTTGTCTTACCAAGAACGTTGCCGGCTTACGGGCCTTGATCCTTTATGGTTCC